AAATGAATTAATTACTTAATTAATTACTGCGTTGATTATTGGATGATTAACTAATTAAATAACTATTAGTCACATAAAATATTTAAAAGTTGCCGATAAAAGTTGAAACGATCGGAACTTCCGTAGAGATCATGCTAATGCCGTAGTGTTTTCTGATTGGTTACGTCAATCATCCCCACTTTCGAGTACCCCCGTTTTTCCCATGTTACAAGAAACCATGATACAAGTTTCACTTCCGTGTAAACAATCACGACTTCGATTACAAGAGAATTAACTTAAGGGTCGGCAGGAGAGACTATGGAGACCTCTATCGGAGATAAATTCCTTTTCATATTACGGCCAAAATATTGCGAAAAAAGCTATATAATTATGATATTTATAATCAAAATATTCGCCTGATGAAAGCTACAGAGTGATTTTTGTAAGAAAATGTGTAAATAAATAATTCATTTATGCGTAACTAGATTTGCACTATAGGACAATAAGGTGCAAATATTTTCATCTATTGTAAATTTTTTTCAAGAGCCAAATTGCAAAAGTCAGCTCTGTAGCAAAAGTCATAATTTTATAAAAAATACGTAGAAAAAAATTCATGGCAGAATATTGCTTCTATGAGATGATATATGGGTATACTCAAATATATATCTGCACTGTAAATAAAGAGTAGATAGTTACATTTTAATTATTTAACTAAATTATTTAGCTAAATTGTAAAATTGGCTCTGTAGGTAGTTTCGTAATTGTAAAAGAAATTATCTCAACAAAGTTTCATGACGAAACATTGCTTCTATGAGACAAAATATAATTGAGTACAAATACACATTTGCGCTGTAAATAAGGAATAGATAGTCTCATTTATTTTAATTATTAAGAGCTAAATTACAAGAATCAGCTCTGTAGCAAGCTTCGTAGCTTTATAAGAAATAAGCTCAAAAAAATTTCATGACGAAATATTGCTTCTATCAGTCAAAATAAGGTTGAATGACGAGCACCGGATTTAGCAAAGCTAGGGGAAATTCTTTGTGGTATCACACTGATCGCTTGACAAGGAAAGCAATAACACTGCTTTGTCTCTCGTTAGTGTGCATGTGAGTAACGTCCATGTATACACATCTAGCATACTTCGCATACGGACTGTCAATAATGTTAGACAAGGACAGAATATACATTATCTTTGTTTTCGACAATGCCGTTTCGGTCACAAAATACTTTAGCCTCCTTGGCCAGAAAGCAGTAGCGTTATGGGAATAATAGATGCCCTCTTTTTATTAATTTTATTTTTGCATGTGCAAATGTATACAAATATGTGTATAAATTTTAGTTAACAGTTATATAAATATTTTAGAAAAATAATGGATAAAAAATAATTAACCATTCTTGAGTTTTAAAAGAAAAATTAAACAATCATAAAAAGGTTTGAAAGAGCAGTAATTGGAGCGCAATAATATATAACAATTTATTAAACGATGATCATAAATACAAATAAAAACACAAATATAAACTAAATACAAATAAAATTAAATCAAATAACGATACATAATAATTAAATATGTATCGGCTCACGTTTGAGTCCTCTAGCGCAAGGAAATACCGTTCAGTAATAGTTCGTTCGTATACTAATCTCATACTGTCATATTTCTAAGATGGTCCAAAGTAGCTGCATGACTCAGTGGAACAATAAAAATGTGGATTGATAACTCCATATTTCAACGCAATAAAAATTTTTTCCATGAAAGATTGAATACATAAAATTGTCAAAGTCATAATAAAAAATTTAAAGATTTCAGGTAGAGTCACATATTAGTAGAAGTAACCAAGTGAAATTAATTATGTCCACAGTTATTAATTTATTTCACTCTAATTTATTTAATATGTGACTATGTAAAATCTTTAGACTTTAGACAAAAAAAGTTTTGTAACAAGTCTAAAATGAAAAATGATTAAATTCTTTTTATTCGGACTTGAGACTGATAGTGAAATTACAAAATCTGTATATGTGCGTGTGTGCATACTTGTGTGTGAGAATAAATATGTATATATGTATATATGTAAATATTTAAATAGGAGATGTAATTTCACTGTTAGTTCCAAGTCCGAAAAAGAAAGAGAGCATCTCGTTATTTGATCATTTTTCAAATAACATAATTTTTAATTTGCTATCAATTATGAAAATAATTCATATAATATAAATATCGAAATTCGATATAATATAAATCAAATCTAGCAATACAAAATGATTCGTAAACAGGATTAGTTAAAAAGTAATAATTGATGTGTCATTGTAGTTTTAAATTTCCATGTTTTCCATAAGATTATTAAATTTTTTTGTAACAAATGTGAAAAATAGTGAAAAATATAATCTAACTGAAATTTTATGATACAATATTACTCGCATTTGGTCTAACTTTGACTTGATTTTTAATTTAATGAAGAATAATTAACAGCGATTTTATAGCGATGCGGACAAGGATTTTATTCTATCACTTTATTTTAATGTATTAATTTTTTCTTAAGCCTGGCATTATTGTAATGATAATTTTCGGTGTGTACGAAAAAAAGTAGATTAAAAAATGTAAAAATAAAACAATTCCCGATCACGAAATTGCGTAAAGATTATATCTTTTTTTACCTTTTTTGGGAACTCAAAATGGATAATACTTTAACTTTGCTGTCAAGTGCATTTTAACCTTAATTAATTTAAATAATAATTTAATTTAAATAAATCTATTTGTTTATTAACAATTTTTATTTTTTAATTATAAAAATTATAATTAATTATATTTTTCCTCCTCTCAAATCCATAGCCACAATATCCTCCCCTTCGCCCCTGATTCTGGCTTCTCCTTAATGGGGGAGGAAGAAAATGCTGCTGCTGTTGCTGCTGCTATTGTTGTTGGGGCGGCTGCTGCTGCTGTTGCAGCAATTGCACTTATTGTTGCAATTGCTGCAATAATTGCTGCTGTTGTCTTGCTCTTTCGCGGCAGCGTTGGCAGTAATGTCGTTCTGCCTGACGATTCTGTAACAAATAATTTATAAAATAATTTATATTTTATATCAATGTGCCTCCATAAAATAAAAATTATTGCTAAATACTCCGATTTTTTGATAATTTTATCTCAGCACTATGAAGAATAAATAAATCAGTTGTGTTACGTAAAAGATTATATACTATTTTGAAAAATAGCAATAACTTTTACTTACTTTGTAATGTCACACAAACACTTTTTAAGTTCCTTTTTAATTTCCACTTACTTTTTAATGTTTTAATCTTAAAAAAATTAATTTTAGTATTAAATCTATTTGATTTCTACAACTTTTGCCAAAAACATTTTTTTGTGAAAGGCATAGGAAAGAGATATTGGAAATATTTATATTAAAATTATCGATTTTTATCAAAAAAATTTACAAAAAAATGAAAAATGTTTATTTCATTTAATATTATTATTTACAAACACTTCTTGTGGTGCGAGATTGACACTCGTACCATCGACTGCCACATCATTTTGGACGATATAGACCGACGGGGATATTATAAATACCAAATTTGGAGATGGCAAGGGTATTAAAATATATTTGTAAAATTTGTAAATATATATATATATAAAGCCGAACACGCGTATTTAGAAAGACACGCGTATACACACACACACATAGTGCACACTCGGAATCGTTATATATTTGCGCGAAATCGACAAGTATAATGATCGTACTTTCGTTTGTTTTCGAAACGGAGATAATAATGTTTAATGGTTTCGAGCTGAGTGAATAATTGTCTGCGTGCATCTTTTTGATTGTCTCGACATGTAAAATTTAGAGGTTTAATTAATTACTAGCAATCGGGGAATTAAATTATTAGCAACGTTGATAATAACCTGGAACATTCAAATTGTAACGAAAGCGAGAATAATAACAAGACGGAAAATATTTTGACGACGGAAACGTACCCAACAAAATATGTTACCCGGACAATCAATTTGGCAAAAGGAAGAGGTACATTCGGTTTCGAGATTTAAAGGAGTTAAGACGCTTCGCGAGATTTCACTTTTGTAAAGCCGGAATTAATTAAGTGATATGATATATTAACTCAAAATACATAACTCAGAATTCCGTCTAAATCTGATTTTTCTACACTCATCAATCCGTATCACCAAACTAATATTATTTAGTATACACAATAATTATCACGGTTTATCTCCTCCACCGGTTCGACGTCGCGATCCATCGCGACGCGTAGCCGAATAACAATTGATGATCACGCCGCCATACACAGCACAGCAACGTGATAGGAATAGGTGAGGCGCTTTTGTTTTTTAGAATCGCAAAGGACATCTCGAATCTTATAGAATTACTCACTAGATATAGTGTTCGGTGTGCAAAAGATTAATTTTTCTTCTTTATTCATTTTATTAATAATGGGAAAAGTTAAGAAAGCGTGGATAAAACGCATCTCTTTATCACAGAGAATGCGTTTAGTTCGTCAACATAATAAGAATCTTGAGGATTTCGAAAGGTTATCTTTTCTGTTGGAGAATTGGAAAGAAATAAAGCAGGAATACATCGCATGAATTAGATATAATATCGAAATGAAGGAAATATAGGTAACAATGAATCGATATCGCAATCTCTTTCAGATACGTCTCATTTATTTATAAATATATGTACAACGACACACGTCCAATCAGATGAAATAATAGCTGATTTTTTAGATAATGATTCTGTCGGATCTGTGTCGGATGTTCGAGAATTTTGTGAGAACACATTCTCCAAATGAAATGCACATAAATATGGATATGAGAAGTGTAATTGATAAAGATGAATCAATATCGGAATTGTTATCGCATGAAACATTTCCTCAAATTTCTGTTAATGCATGTGCTGTGATGAAGAAAAGTAAAATGCAAAATAATATTAAAGATGTTGAAGATATCAAAGATATTGAAGATATCAAAGATATTGAAGATATCAAAGATATCGAAAATATTATTTTGCCGATGAGAACATTGATGCAGGTCGTTTGCGTTCTGCAGAGCTCAGTAGACGATGTCTCATGAATTTTGAATACGTTTACGCTGAATTGTAAAGACTATCCACTCATTGGCTCAATGAATGTTGTCTTATGATCTCATTATAACGAAAACAAAACGTTACAGTCTCAAAACCCAATATTTTGTGGAATGTCAAATGTGTCATTTCCAAGATAACTTTTGGAGTGAACCGATGGATGATAAAATATTGGATGTCAATAGAGGTGACACTATATTGACAGGGACTGCACAAGCAGCTGAAGAATTTCTTGCTATTGTGAATGTTCCATGCATGAGCAATAAAACTTATATTAATTATCATAATGAAATGTCGGAAGTCTTCGCCGCCGCCGCGGAAGAAGAAATGCGAGTAGCTGACGAGGAGGAGAAACGTTTAGCGATTGAAAGAGGAAATATTATAGATGGTATTGTACATATACCCATAATAACAGGTTCATGGATGAAGAGATCTTACCAGTAGTAGTTTTGATTCTCCATCTGGAGCAGCTATTATTACGGGATATTATTCTCAAAAAATATTGTTTGTTGGCGTAAGAAATAAATATTATGTAGTTTGCGCAAGAGCAGCTAAAATTAATAAACCCTAAGAAGCATGTATGCTTTAAGAATTGGGGAAATAATCAAAGTTCTAGTATAGAAAGTGATATAATCCTAAAAGGGAAATAATCAAAGTTCTAGTATGGAAAGTGATATAATCCTAAAAGGCTTCATATAGTTTAGACATAGTTTAGAAATACATGGATTAATTTATAGTAAATATATTGGTGATGGAGATAGCAATGTAGCTAAAACATTGAGAGATTTCCCACCATATCCAAATATCATTGTGGAGAAGATTGAATGCACAAATCATCTTCTTCGCACTCTTTCTAATAAAATACGCGAAGCAGGGAGTACTGGTGGTAAAAATTTTTCAAAATTGAAAAAATGTGTTACGAATAGCGTTATGAAAATTCGGAACGCTGTTGTAAAAGCTGTAATTTTTTTCGCCGTAATAGCAAAGCATCTTGACAACAGAAAATTGCAGGATTAATTAAAGATTTAAATAATATACCTAGTCATGTATTTGGTGAGCATAAAGGTTGTGCTTCGCTTAAGTATTTTTGTAATGGAGAACGAAAAGAAGGCGGAAATCTTGTGCCTCAATTACAAATGGCAGGATTATATTTCAAAATAGAAAGCGCAATGAAACGCATTATAGATAACGCGGATAGTTTGTTACATTGATTTACTAGTAATTCCGTCGAACGTTGCAATGGAATTATTAATAAATTAATTGGCGGTAAACGCATCCATTTTGCTATGAAAGATTCTTATGAAACACGCGAAAAAGCATCCGTAGTGCAATTCAATACATCACAAGTATTGAGTTCTGTCGTGCAATGGAAAAAGAGCCACTCGCATGTGCGAAAGTAATAGAACAACAATATAATGACTAAAAATTTTAAACAGCATGAGCGAATATGCGCGGCGAAAGAATTAGGTCTTTTTATTCGTACTTCGAAATATGTTGCCAAGATGTTTAAAGCTAACAAAGATTATGGACCAAATGTTGAACGACCAAATATTGAAGACAGTGTGTACGAACAATTAAAATCCACTCATTATGAAATGGAGCAACAGCGCAGTCGTGTCGTATTGGAGTATGCAACGCGGGGTCAGCATGAGAACCCGCAATGTCATCACGTACGACAGAAGCTTCTCACTGCTTCAAACTTTAGAAAGATTTGCAGCAGAAGAGAAACAACTTCGTGCCAAAATCTTGTGAAGACTATTCTGTATTCTCCTCGATTAACGAATGCAGCTATTGAATGGGGTGGAGAAAATGAATGTCTGTGGCACGAAAGCAATTACAGGAGGAATTGGGAGTAGAAATTAGTGATTGCGGACTCTTTATTGACGAGGAATTTTTATATTTTGCTGCGTCACCTGATGACATTATTGAAGACGATACGTTGAAATTAAATGTCCTCATGCGGCGCGACAAGTGTCTCCTATCGATGCAATGCTCCATAAAGTTGCGAATATTCATCGCATTTTTGATAAAACTGATGACACTCGTATGAATCAAAGACACGCGTACTATTTCCAAGTATAAGGGCAATTCCACATAACGCGAAGAGATTATTGTATTTTTGCCATGTGGACGCCTTTAGGATTAAAGTACACGATTGTTCAGCATGATGATACATTCTGGAGAGAAAGAATGCTATCACAGCTGAAACGAGAACTGTTTGGTTCCTAAAATAATTGATAGTAAAATCGCGAGAAATATGCCAATATCACATACATCATTGAACGCACAGAAGGCAGCTCAAAAAAAGAAAGAATATCATTAAACGAAAGAGAAACATTCACTATATCATAAAATATAAAAATAAAAAAAAATGAAAAAATAAAAAATAATAAAAATTTTTAAAACATTAAAAAAGATATCTTAATTATTAATCATAATATAATTTATTTTATAATATAATGGAAAATGTTTACTCACTCTTTTTCGTGTAATGATATCCTACGTGGGAAGAGCAGGAGGGCAAAATTCTGCTTATTACTTATAATTAAAATATTTATATATTATTGATTGTTTATTAATTTTCTACTTTTAAATTTTGTTAAAATTTGAAAATAATGCATTGCAAATTAGATCGCAATTTGAACTGAGAAAATGATTGCGTTCCAAAGTATTTTTATTATACATTATTAAATTTGCAATGCATTGTTTTTCTAAAACACAGAAATAAGCAGAAAAATAAAAAAGATATGAGAAAATAACATTATACAGAAACACACATATTAATATTATATTATGCAAATACAAGTAAATTATAATCAAAAATATTTTAAGTAATTTGCTAATAAGTGCTTCTCGCTATGTGATTGAAGTCACTTTGTGACGCAATCACTGAGTTTGAATTGCGATCCACTCGAATTTATTAATTCGTGTTGTATACGAAATATTGTACGCAACAATAATAATCAATAAAATAATATTTATATTTTTATGCATACAAAAAATATGCCAATTTTATATACATATATGTATAATACATATTATTTTATGTATATATTGATTGCAATTGTCACGTACATGGTAATATTTTTAATATTCTCATCTCAAACATTTTATTTAATTATATCATATTAAAGGAATTGCAAATATGGTTACATACATTTTTACTTTTGTTAAATAATATTCATTGAGATAAGAATATAACTACAAGTACTTGCGCTAATTGTTGTGTTTCCGACAGGCGTGAGGACTGTTATGCATGTTGCATGTTTTCGGTACAAGAAATTAATCTTTGTATGTATAATGCATGTGATTTAATTATAATAATTTCAATATAATTTATTATAATTGCTTAAATATTTTATTTTGTAAATCCTTTATGATTTAAAGATATTCGTATTAATATATGTCTGCGTGCGCGGCAGTTGTTTGTTGACATTGTTGCAAGTATAACATTTAAACTGAGAGACAAGTTATCTGCAGTGTACAGCTCACGTAAATGGAAAGGCATGAATTTTTCAATATAAAATAGCGTCCAAAGAAGACATGTTTACGCACAAAAGTTCACATATTAATTGCATATTAATTAATATTTATATGGAAAAATTAATATAAGAGACATAAATCTCAATCTATAATTGATGTTGTTAAATAAAAAATGCTGAACAACTTTTAAATGTATGCAATAATTTTATTCTGTAATAAATTTTATTCTGTAAAAAATTATTTATTTATAATAAAATTACATTTATGTTTGTAATAAAAACTTTTTATGCTATTATAATTTTAATATTTCTTTTTCATTTAACTTGATTTCCTTAATTTAGTTCCTTCAAATTAATTTTTCTTGTATTTACATATATCTATCATCTGTGTTTATACATAATATGTATAAAATATGTATGTATAATAACATGTAAATTTATAACGTGTAAAGTAATTGAAAATTAATCAAATATCTTATAAACATTTTTGGCTGAGATTTTAAGACGGTAGAATAGAAACAATCAAAATAGCTATATCGCATAATATGTAATATATGACATCTTAATATCTATGCATCTTAAAAAGAGACAAACAGCATAATTGTCAGTTTTTCTAAGTTCTCTGAGATTTTATCCGCGTCAGCAATAGATTAGTATTAGTGTATATGTGAATACACAACCATATATGAAAACAGATATTTTATTGTTCGAAGTTAGCAGCCCTGATCTCAGAGCTTTGCGCTTTCACCGCATGAGGTCCCCAAGATCAATTCGGAGTTTGCCCATTCGGACTCCGAGAACTTACCCTTAAGAACTGAAATGATATATGTAGGTGGCGATTGTGTATCTGACTATGATTTAATTTTTATATTCGAAGTATGTTCTGATAATACAAGTTAAAGGCGCATTCGGGATATACTCACCAAGATATTACACAAATATTCTGAGTATATTACATATAATCAGAGTACGCAGTATAAGTAGCAAAATTTATTTGTTATTTCCTGAGTATATTCTGAAAATATATATCCTGAGAAATGATATTATACAGAGATATTATGAATTTTCTCCGTATATTATCGATGATTATTGTATATTCCGTATGAGTACAGAATATTTATATGATCATGTTCCGTTAAGGAACAGGAATCAATCAATATGAAATAGAAATGTGATTTATAATTTATCGTACATTAATTTAATATTGCAAAGAACAATATAATAGTTTTACTTACCATAAAGAATAATTCTTTATTTAAATAATATGAAACTTAGTTTCATAGACACGTATTCTGCGATGCGATAGACACTATTTTATTACAAAATCATCTCAGTGATCAGATTCTTTGTATTTTTATATGTCGATTATTGTTTAAATGTTTGCAATGTAACATTTTCAAATTTTAAGGGATATTTGTGCTTCATTATAATCACTTTCTAATTTACACAGCTATTAGCAACAGAATCAACGATAAAATTTGCTTTTATTTTGTTTGACATTACACAACATAATTTTGTTTTATTTTACTCATTTTTCAGAGAAATTTATGTGCACATATATATGTATGTACATTCTTGTTGCGTTTAATTTCACTGATTTCAAACAAAACATGAAATTCTAGAATCTATTATATTACATACATATCGCATATGAAAATCTATAATATACGTAACGTATACTATTTTTAATATTTTTCATGCGATATTTTTCAAGAATGGAATTCCTGTGCAAATAAATCTGATGCTCTATTCTTAAAACATGTCGCGAAAATACATAACATATACTATAGAATTTTCATATACGATATGTTTGAAAAATAGGATTCCTGTACGATCACGCATTTTTTCACGGAATGCCCATAATATCATGGCCCATACTGGTTAGGCGCGCACTTGCATTCCCATCAGTTATTTTTCTACTTTGCGATACAGGACGCATGCGCATCACGTCGAAGTAAATGTAAACGGAGTAATCGTAACGGTCCCGAATCCCGACGTCCCGAGTTCGGTAGCCTCGTCAATGTTCGGGGCTTTTTCGGGTAGTTTCGCAAGGCGCGTCGTCGTCGGATGACGGTGAGTGTGTGATGGTACTGACGGTCCGTCGTCAGTTAATCCGTCGTTATTTCGTTTTGTCTCTTGCTCCGCAATATGAGCGCCGGCAAAGAGAACCGCGCTCTCGCGTCGTGTCGTAGTCACCGCTGCGTCAGCGCGAAGTGCATGATCGTGTGAGGAAGACGAAGAAGAGAAGACGAAGAAAGAAAAAGCAGTAAAGAACGCCGCGCCACGAAAAGGTCAGCCTCTGTCGAGCGCTTCTCGAGAGACGACGTCGCCTATGAACGGCCGATGACATATCCAATATAACTCCCCGAAAAGGGGGATAGAGAGAGAGAGAGAGACAGAGACAGAGAGAGAGAGAGAGAAAGAGAGAGAGAGAGAGAGAGAGAAAGAAAGAGAGACGTCTCCGACAACATTTGTCGACACACTCCATTTATTTGTCCGTCCGTCTTGTCTGCTTTCTGTCTGTCTGTCTTATATCTTTCTATCGACCTCCTTTTCTCGAGCACGCCCTTAAACGGCCACTGCGGCGGTTTCCCGTGAATCCCTTTCGCGTTTCTCCTCGTTACGCTACATTCTAATATCTATTATTTATCTACTGCTATAATTATATAACCTACGATATTATCCAATATCGTATCGTTAGCGCCGTCGCATTCATGCGTTGATGCTGACGTATTCCGAGCTTAAGCTCCGTCTCTTTAACGCGAGTATTATCAGAGACACAGCGTAAACAAGTGCATATATCTCATTTTCTGTTTGCTCCGCATTTAGGCGATGACGGCGACGGCGTCGCGGGGGTCCGAAGATTTCATCGATGATGAATACTTGGTGCGAACAACGGTTTCGAGCTTCCGAATAAGTTACAAGTAATCTTATACAACAGCTCAAGGATGAGTTTCACGGATTTTCCCATTGTCATTACGCGTCTCGCAAAGCTGATTCCACGTTCCTTGTTTCCTCCTCCTCCTCCTCCTCCTCTTCCTCCTCTCTCTATCTATCTCACTCTCTCTCTCTTTTTTTGTCTGTATTGCAACAACATGACTGGCCTCCACAGATTTCCTGACGAAGCGAGTTCCAACGTGCGAGTCCACGTCTCCCTTGCATCGACCTCGATTTCTGCGCATTAGAATTTGCTGAGATATCGATGCAAAAGTGTCGACTGACATCACCGGTTTAATTTGAAAAGCCGAGCCAGCTGAGCGCCGAGCAGCCAGAAAATCGCGCAACTCGTCCGATCGAAATCTTTCTGATGATGAGGAAATCCGAGGAAATGTTTTCACTATCGACGAAACGATATGTATTTCGTCCGCAGCCAAACGTGTCAATTCTCGTTTCTACGAAAGAAAACAGTTATCCTCGAGGTAGCCGCTCTCTCGAATCGTCTGTCGACGATGGATGAGCCATGGATGAACCATCGTTGAGGCTCGCAACTATTAATGCGGCGGCACATTCCTTCACAAACGTATGCCGCCATCCCACTTTACCACTTTACCGTTCCTTCTTTCCTCATATCTGCCTTCCTTCTAATTTAATTTCGCCTATTGTCAATCTGTATCTTAGATCTCACTGCATCGAAACTCGATCAGCTGGCAGGATTTTTGAGCTTAGGATGAAATCTTTCGAGACATCTCTGTGGCGCAATTGAATGTATTATTGTAAATTGAAGGAATACTGATTTTTAATCGCGCTAATTCAGAATAATATCGATCAAGATATCTCGATCAAAATGGATCGTCACTAGTGGCCTGCCTCAAGATGAGAATTTTTTCAGAGTTCGTTATTCTCAGAGTTCATTATGGCACGCATCGAACACGCATCGAAAAATTATGGGTAATCGTGCAGAGAGGTTCGATCGGTTCGCTACGTCGCATCAGATTATCAGAATTTCATGCTCGATCGCCTCTCACGCCTCGTAGAAAAGTCTCGTCGAGCGGAGAATGTCGGTCACTCGTTGGTATTTTTGGAACGATTGGCGCTTTTATGCTATTCATGCGGCCAATTGCCGCCTTTGCGCTCTTTCTCGATTTGCTTCGCTTATCTTCAGCGATTGTAACGATAATGCTCGATTGTACATGCGTTATCTAATCTCACATTAGCAAACACTCGGACATGATCGCCTCGGATAGAATGGGACATGAATTCCCTCGCGATCGCCACTCGGACAATGTTCACTAGAATGACAATGATTATCAATGATAAGCCCTTGTCTCCTTTAATATGACTGATTCGCAATATGCGAATATTCAAGGAATATTAATATTTAATATTTTTAATTTAATATTTAATAAATTCTCAGGCACTTCTTTAATTATATTGGGAAAACGTGAGTAATCCTTTTAATCGAAAATCCCGAATTAATTAGGTATCCGAAATCGCAGCGATGTCAAAGAAGACCAGCTGCAAGATGTTGGTTCATCAGGTGTCAGCCGTGTTGCCAGATGACAGGCCAATAACTGCCATTAGTGTCGTGGAAGACATAGACAAGTGTCCACCGAACTTCACAGTGGTATGGATGATTAATACTAGCTAACATTAATACTACTAACATTAATACTAGCTCAATTTACGCGATCTTTTTTTCTCTTTCTCTCTCGCAACGATCGGAAATAATTGATATATATATATATATATCTCGTTAAGGTATCGAGAACCTACGACCAGGACACCGACGCCGATCTGTGGAGGGAAAGTGGGCTGTTCATCAAGAAAAAGGGTAGATACATTTGCTTCTCGAAGACTGAGGGTCAGCCTGACTGCGTGGTCGAGGACATCGTGGTGATTAACGAGCGAGATACTCCACCGGAAGGATACAGCATGATCTCCTATACCGTGGACTCGAGTGAGCCTCTTTATTCGACAGTAATGCCTGCCATCTGCGAATCTACAAATCTTTATAAATGAATTGTGATGAACGTGTTTTACAGGACAGAAAGCATGGCGGAAAAAACAAGTATGCTACAAAATTAGGAATAAGGATCTATGTGTGAAAGCAGTCACGGATATAATTATATGCAGCAGGATAATTCACAAGGATTCTAAATTGGCTCCTATTGGCTTTTCCGCCGCTGGGTAGGTAACAGAGATCTAATTTGATTTTTCGCGCGCTCTTCGAACTACTAGGTTGACTTTATGAGTTCTGTTTACATTTTTATTTTCTATTTATATTTATATTTTTATAACTTTTATAATTACAAATAAACGCGATAACCTAAATATTTTAATTGCAACATATATCTTCTTTCTTCTCTTTCAGTATCATAAATGGTGTTCGTGTGTGCTACAAAACAGTAGATATCATAAACGCGGATTCACAGTCGTATGTTAATATAGAGTGAGTTACTTTCGTTAGCATCACACAAGGCAATCGATTATGAAATGAATATTTTATGCACTTCCAGCTTACTACAGAGTTCTTCCCCAAATCCTTCGAACGGAATCTCTTACAAACGAGCCCCGGAGAGGCCCCCGAAACCAAAGTTTTCACCAAAATCACAAGTCAACGGGATTTATCCGCATATCAGTAACGCAGCTAACAAAGACGACGACCTCGGCGATCGAGATTACGAAGTCCTGAGTCCCAACGCAAGGATCAGGCCCACAAGGCCCGCGCCCCAACCGCCCATATCCACACCACCAGCCGTCGCATCCACACCCATTTACGGTACACTTCCGGGATCGTCCGATCTCGATGGAGTCCCGTTTGTGCTTAATCCTCGTCTTACTACTAATCATCTTGATCCTGCCAATGTAAGTAATAATTTTAAATTCGTAAATCCAAACGATTAATATATATTTAATTTTACAATGTAACGATATTTTTCTTGTCTCAGAACAAACTTCCTGTTATCAAGGTGTGGACACAGAAAGACTTGGATAGAGAGGTACGTAAATCTTTTTTTTTTCCAGCGAATTTTTTGACGATAAATAACTAACATAGTATATCATTGCAGTTTTTCTATGATTTTCGTGCGGAGAGAGAAACCTGAAAGACAACAGTGTGCCAAAAGTAATCTTTTGCAAATTTGCGAGAAATCTTGCTGCTATACTTATGATCCGCGTTTATATTCGACATAATATTAGCCAACAAGTGTAAATGGAGTGCCTGAACGAGTGATTTCTACTAATCCGCGAGAGAATGAAGCCCGACGTTTAAAATGGGGGTGTACTATGTAAGAAGAAATAAGATAAAAAAAGAACTTATTCGGTGTACGCGTTTCTTTTTCCGCCCTACGTTTAGATTTTTGATACCAGTGATAACGTTGTCATATTTTTATAGACTTGCATTATTTTTTAATAGATAATAGAGATTATATATGTAAAATATATGTAAGTACACACAATTTTGTATCATAATGTGAGTTGTTGTACGTATCTCAATATCACATATTTACGCTGTTAAACGAACAAATGCATAATACCGTTGAGAGAAGCATTCTCGCCGTATATTTATCGCTTAATGCAACAACTCAAATGCGTGGTAAGAATGCATGCTACAGAAGCCATTTAACTTTATTGTTCCTCTTATCCTTTATGTCTTTTTGACACGACTATCTTTTTACGTAGAGATTAATATGTTTATCGTATAATTTTTTTCCCAAAATGCTGCTTCTTTTCTTTATCTGCAATAAAGTATTAGTATATCTTTTGTCCTTCGTGTATATGTATATATATATATATATATATATATATATATATATATATTATTTATTTAGT